AGTGTAGATATAAAAAAAAAAAAAAAAGAACTGTAGAACTGTCAATTTACAGTCATGTGTTCATATTACTGTTTTTATATATTTATTTATGTTTTTTTTAATTTTTTTTTTTTACTATTTTTCAATCCTGCACCTTTAAAAAATATTAAATTGTCCAGAGAGCTGTTCCAAACGAAATTTATTTTTGTTTTGAGCTTGTGTAAACAAAATGACAAATAACATCTGTCTAAGTTTAAGATATGACTTGGTTTGGACTTGAAGTCTGCATGGGAAGCAAAAGTTTTTATTTCATGATTTTATTGGTCAAGGTGATCTGTTATTTATAGAGAATATTTATGTAAAAAGGATTAATGCTTTTTCTCTACTATTTGTTTAAAAAAAACTGTTTATTGTTGTAACTTTATACACTTTACATATTGGTTTCTTCACTGCAGTCCCTGAAAAATAGTTCTGAGCAGATTTGTCAGTCCTTTTAAAAAGTTGAACTGTCCAAAAAAAAAATTGTCTTGCAATTTCCACAATGCAAATAAATATAAACAGTAATAGTTTTATGAACTATTTCTGTTCACTAGAACAGTAATAGTTCAATAAAGTAAAATATTTTTCTATTACATTTATTTAAAACTTAACATCTGTTGAAATAAGAAAATATTTCTGAAAAGAGTTAACTGATTATGAGTCTAATCAAAAATGCTTTCAGTAAAAAACCTACAGCTATTTTGTTTCGCTTGGGCAGATGAGATGGTAGGCCACGAGAAATTGGAGTCTTAATTTCTCTTGGGATGTCAGATATGAAACTTGAATTTGCCCTTCAAAGAAGTGACCATTAATAACTTTTAATCAATAAAAAAAAAAAGGATAAATTGCTGATTTCAGTGGTAAATGGCAAAACACAGAACGCAAACGAAAGTCTTGCAGCCAATGACCCAGGAGAACAACAGGTGGGTTATCAAACACACTTATGAGGATTATGAGGATCTGTAATCCAACTATAGATTCCTTTCGTGTCAGCTGACAAAACTGACAAAGACTCCTGGATAGGTGTTAAAACGTTTGCAGAAAAACTGAGCGAAGATCTGCTTGTCTCTTTAATTTAAGCCTGATCCCTATTAGACTTATTACAGCTGTTAAGCGCTAAAGTATTGGTGTGAAATCTTTTACATACTTGGTGGAGGAAATCATTACATATTTGAAAATTACATTTTATAAAAAGCACAGAGAAACACAAAGTTATTAAAAGGTGGAAAGTCCTGGCAATAAGATTCCTGCTTCAATGCAGGAGAAACTTTGGCCTGTAGTGAAACTAGAAGGAGATGTTCATGAAGGAATGCCCCATTGATTTTAAAGTTCACATCTTAGCTGCAATGTCCTTTAGCTCAAGTCTGGCTTCACCTAATCCTCGTCTCTTTCTCTCTCTCTCCTTCTGTTTCTTCCTACGTCTCTCTCCGGAAGTTAAAGGGCTAGTCAGGCCTGATTAGAATGCAGAGGAGGAAGGCTCTGCTGCAAATTGAAAACATATTGATTCTCCTCATGCTTTCAGGCAGAAGGGGCAACAGACAGAGGGAAAAAAGGGAGATGGACAGGAGGAAAATGAAAGAAAATCCAGCGGGGAAACAGAGTGGTCTCAGCAGTTTCCTTGTATCAGTCGCCACAAATTTGTGTGCCTCCTCTCCAACATATGCAGACATGCATGATTTAGATTTGAAAATAGAAACCTCCAGATTCAAAACACCAATATTGGGATATTTTCTTGACAATAATTTGCACAGATTTGCAGTCATACTAGCTCTGTTTTCTTTGCATGTGAGAGCATGCTGACATGTCCAGCTGATGTGGCAAGAGGCTACATGAGTCCAATAAGAGAAGACAGCGCATAACCCGTACAGATGTGCTGACTGCACAGTTTCCATGGGAACAAATCTACCCCACCCTTCCACCAACCCATCACCTTCACCACCACCAGCACCAATGCTCCTCATTGCTGTTGCTAAAGCCTGACAAGCTCATTTAATGCTTCTCGTTTTTTTCTGTATGTGTGTCCAGGAGTTCTCCCATCAGCTGTGTCTCAGCCTGTCTAGTTCTTAGAGTCCATGTGAAGTGTTTGTTCATCTGTGTAAAAACTATTGAGGGTGCAATGCTTGTCTTACTCTTTAATCAAGGAAGAAGGAAAAGACAGGGTAGTGAGTTTGCTATGGCTGTCTGTTTTTGTGCTGGAGCCATTAATAAATCCACATTACAAATAAAATGTCTTCATTGTATGGTATAATGGTAAACTGCTTAACAGAAATGCATGGACTCTATGCATCTGGGATATAGATAAGCTACCATAAAGGACAGAATGATAAAAATAAATAAACAAAAATAATTTTGAGTAAAAACTGCCACCCTGTGTTTGTTCAATGTAACAGCATTTTGTAAGGGTTATATAATTGCATGCATTGTATTATCCATTGCAACTATACATGTGTTACCTCTCATAGTAATTTGAGTATATTCATAGGAAATATAACAGAGAAGATTTAACAATAATTCAATACAGCATAGGAGATTTTAACCAAAATGTTCTTGCAGTTAGTAAACAATTTGTTAATGTAATATTATTTAACTTGATATTTTTCTAGCATGTTGCAATCTCTTTGTAACTTTCCGGGTCTGGATAATTATTAAAAGCAAATAACGCTAGTGATAAAATAAATTAGTTTATAATAAAGTTCCAGGTTGATGCACTGACAACAACATAGACTAACGGAAGGATTTTAAAGTTTATTCTCTGATGGGCAGCAGAGTTTTGGATCAGCTGCAGCGGGGGAACAGAGTGGTCTCAGCAGATCCACCTGTTCCAGTTCCTATTTAAGTTGCTTGTTTCCAGCCATCAGTGCCAGATTATTTGAGCTGTGTGAGATTCCAGTTATCCGGTCCCAGCTGACAGGCCGAAGATTATAGAGCAATCAAATGTCTTGTTTGAAATCACTTCTGTTCTGTCTGCCTGAATTCTGGGTCCTAAAATCTTAGCCCTGACACCAATATTTCAACAATAATTCGTGGTTTCCAGCTGGAGCTGTGACCTAACTCTGGATCTCTCCTCCTTTGCTCTGAAGATTACCTAAGTTTTGTTTTTATTCAGTTGGAGAAAATTATGGCGCATCCACTTATTGATCTGTTTCTAAGCATCTAACCAACACTCTGATGGGTTCATAGTGACCTGGTGACATTATGATGTAAAGCTCTGTTTCATCTGCATAGTTATGCAAACTGATGTTGTCTGCCATAATCTGATCTAAATGGAGCATATAAAAATTAAATAGCAGGCGCCCCAGAATGGAGCTTTGACGAACTCTGCATATGATTTTTTTTTCTGGTCTCTGACTGAAGTCCCTGTCCTTCAGGTAGGATTTAAACCAGTCCAGTTCAGTACCAGAAAGCCCAACAGAGTTTTCCAGATGCTCTAATAAAATCAGCTGATCAGCAGTATCAAATTTGACTCTAAAACCATAGGTAAAATCTGTGGGTAAAACATCAAGATGGCAGGAGGAGGAGCTTAGGAGCAGAACAATTTATATAAACCCATGCTGTTTTATTAGCCAGAATTTATGCATTTTAACAGAGTTTATTCCAACTGGTAACAGTATTGTTACTGTACTGTAGTTAATGTACAGACTGCTTTACAAATACCTTGTATTTTCACAGTAAAGAATCTTGCAAAGTCGTTGCAGAATTTTTTAGATTGAAGTTGGGTTAGAGCAATCTACAGTCAAGTCTTTGTTAAAAATAAGGAGGAAGGAGAAATACTCTTCTGTTTGAGAAAGCAGTTTTTTTTTTAATCATTATTCAAGGTTCATCTCAGTAGGTCATTGTGATTTGCTCATCATACTGAAGAAAATGTGTAAATAACAATCCATTCCAATTTATTTATATTGCACATGTTTCCAATGTGCCGTACATACAGACAAAACAATATCTGGGGAAGGGAAAAGTGACTGAGGAAGGGATAATTTGACTGTGGCATAATTTTGCTCATTTTGATTGTAATTTTTGTTGGAGAACATCAGATAGTTCAGACCTTTTTGGGGGCTAAAGAAAAGGATGGTGTGGGTGCTAGAGGAGGGATGGTTTAAAATTGGTTAAGAATTGAACACAGGCATGCATCACTCTGGTTGATGTAGTCATAGGCGATTTTAGACAGGGGCCAACGGGGGCCAGTGCCCCTGTAAATCATATCCTGGCCCCTGTTATGGCCCCTGTACTTAAGAAATAATACTTAAAAGAAATCCTAATGATGATATCCGCTGGAACATACATAGTTACTGATAGGTCCTTTGGGTCTATTTCATTTTTTTTCTTTGTAAACTATGTTTTACTAATTATTTAAAAACAATAAGGTGATAGCTTCAGTGGTATTGAGATAGGATCCCAGTTTTCAACTGCTAAATGTTTAAAAAATAAATACTCTAATTTTTACAGCTGAATTTATCAGTTTTTCTTGAGTTCTAACTCAGATTTTATAGAAAATGATAAATTAAGTGAAGAATATGTAAAATTCCTAAATTATGAATGTGTATTGACATCATAAGAAATAGAATTGTTTTAAACCTAATTGAATAGAAATTTCACTTCATGCAGCTATCTTAATATATTTGAATCCCTTGCCCTGTTTTTTTATTTCATGCTTTTCCGTGCCCCCGTGAAATCACACTGGCCCCCTCCTGTAAATTTGGTCTAAAACCGCCACTGGATGTAGTTTTTGACACAAGTATACAACTGAGCATTTTTTTTTTTTTTTTTTTTTTTTAGACCTATGAGACAGAGAGGAAAAAAATAAGTGGAAAGAAAAAGTACAGGAAGAGAAACAGAAATACTGATTTGTGGAAAAGACATCGGTGGAGTAAAGAGTTCATCGGTGGCTGCGAAATTCAATGAGCGCAATGCGGCCATACGCCTTTGTTGTCTGTGAGGCGGTAAAGCAACTGAGTGGAGACCATCGGGTAAAACACAGAAGAAGAAGAAACAGAAGGCAGAAGAAGAAGCTGGGAGGGATTTTACGACGTTTGCAACAACATAGAGCTGTCACAATTTTCGGCAACGAAAAGAAACCGTGGAGAAGCCTCTCATGAGGTAAAATTATACGAAAAAAAGGTACAAACATCTTTTAACAAAAGTTTAAAATTCATTGTCATGTTATCCTGCACTTTTCTTGTGGTTTTGGTGACGAAATGTGAATTTTCATGTTTGTGCATGCGTACTTTAAATGAATGCTTTAGGTAAAAACACGGCATTTCAGAAATTATATTTCAGTTCCCACTTTATAGCAAACATTATTATAACCAGGTTCTGTTATATCAGATTTGTTCGGCTACATTAATCATGTTTCGGTGTAAGAAACGTACATATGTGTTCGCCTGTCTCTACTCAGGTAATGCGTGTCGGAGTCCCGAGTGGAGAGAATCTGCAGAGAGGATCTTACAAAGCTGGGATTTTGGTGAGTGTGGATGCTCCGAATGCTTGAATGTAACCATGACTGGCTACAGGGATGGCTTATTTAATGCGATGGAAACTTGTCATTTAGATTTCTTCTGTTTCTAGACACTGAAGTCTAGGAGATTCTAATGTTGGGCAGAGATAGCCTGAGTCAATGCAAACATTGTTTACAAATGACAATTATTATATATTATGGTTAAAATAAGCTATTTAAATCAGTTCAGCCTATTTGACTTTAGTCAACTATCTTGTCTAGAATTAGTTTTAATAAAACCAAAGATCTGAAAACCAAAAGTAGACTAAACTTTATTTATAACTTGGGGTTCCAGTAGCTTATATAGGGTACAAAGAGTTAAAGCAAGATGCCATTAAAGATAAAATCAATAAAAAAATACGACAGACTATATAAAAAGAGTGTATTGAGTGCCAAAAAAAAAAAAAAAAAAAAATAGTTGTAATGTCCTCGAATATGTTTCCCTTAGCTAATAAAAAACATCTGCACATGGAGAGCTAAGATTACACTGTAGTTGACTTGGATTTTTGCACTTGCACTCCAGAGATCAAATGACCTTATAAATAGGTAAAATAATTGCTCAGGCTATACAGTAGTTGGCATCTGTAATTGCAGTGAGAGAAAAGAATATTGCAGATGAGTTACTATAGGCAGTGTTTTGCATAAGATGTCCAAGGAGGGGGGTGCTGACCCTTGTCCGTCTTCCTATCCCCTCCTCCTTTCCCCAAGTGAGGAGTTGTACAGCTTGATGGCTTTGGGTTTAAGTAGGGGTTAAGATCTCAATGGCATAATGCCATGCCTTGGTCTATAGAAATTTAACAGCAGATCAGAAAGAGTCGCTAACATCCCTCGGTCAAAATAGGTTTAAAAGCCGTCTACTCATCCAGAAAGAGACAAAAGAACCATGGACATCTATGCAATGCAAGTCCCACTTGCCTTAATTCAGGAATTAGTTTATTGTTCCAAAATAAGAAACCAACAGGGAGAATATAGGAGAACCCAGGCTAAAATAATTACTTTTAAGAATCACATTTGCATATTAATGATCACCAAGATTGCTATGGAAATATAAAAAGTGGGACAGTTTGAAAGATGTTTGTAAAACTCTATTTTTTTTTTTCCATTTGTAAATCATAATAATTACAATCAAAAATAAAGGTGGCAGGACGATGCTGCAGAATCGGGGAGATTTTTGCTGTTAATGAAATTATGAAATCTGCACTACAGGAAAGTTTGAAGAAGAGATATCTGGCCTGTAGTTTGTGACCTTAAACTCAAACACGGTTGGATTATGCTGTAGTATATAACTTTATAGTCTTGCTCTTATTTCCCCTTTTTTAGACCCTGCTCCTGAGTGTGTTTATGTTCCAACTGCTGAGGATTGTTGGATTGCGAGCGTTTTCCATGGCATCTGAGACGTACATATCAGGAACACACTCTGCAGCTTTTGTCACCTGTCCAAATGATACCGTTGCTAAAGACTTGGCTAGGTAATACTCTGCTCATATGTATAGTATGATAATTAAAGCATTGGTCTTGGAGTGAGTAATTCATAAAAATGCCCTCTACTATTTTATTCACCATTGAATTTTTTTTTAGAGCATAACCCTATCTTAAGTCGATATGTAGCATTTTTAAAAGTCTTTTTTAATATGCATATTTATATTTATGTGTGCACTAATACTTTTGTCCTTTACACCCCAGGGGTATTGTGGAAAGGAAACTGGCTGCATGTGTGAACATTGTCCCAGCAATTAAATCTGTGTAAGTTTTAATCTAACTGTTCTTCAGCTTTTGAGAAGTAAAAATTTTCCTAACATATTTTTCCCTCTTGTTCCAGATAATAGTTACTGAAGCTTAGAACTGTCTTGTTCTTTAATCATTGGCACAATTAAAACAAAACAAAAAAAAGACAAAATTTTGTTACCATATTTGCCTTTTTCAGATATGAGTGGCAGGGAAAGATTGAAGAGGACAACGAAGTGCTTCTTGTGAGTTTTAAATGATTGTTAATGAATATCAACACCTTAATTCAACCTCAATTACATTGCTGTTTTAAGACATTTTTACTGTCACAAAATATTTAGATTTTATGCCAGACTAATAATGTAGTTTAGAATGTTACCTCAAACCTGATTAAGAGCTGCAGTTATAGATAATTTAACTAGATGAGTAATCCGAGGACTATCATAATAGTCCTGTACTTTTTTTCAGTTTTGGAAAAATACCTAGAAACAAAATTGAAATGTTAAATTCCCTCCTTTACTGTTATGTTTGCTTACATTAGTTAAAAATCTCAAACTATTGTAAACCCACTGTTATTAGATCTTTCAAGATTTAATTGATAGAAACTGAGCAAAAGCCTAGATATGGACATTACATAAGGCTGGAAAACGTTATTCAGCGTTAGGTTATGCTCTCTAGTTTTACTCTGCATTGTCTAAAAGAGCATTTTGTCAAATCATTGACAGCAGGGTCCAAAATCCAGTATAAAGTGTGTTTTTATTAAGTATGGTTTACCTTGTTCTTCTCCCATTTAGATAATCAAAACAAGAAGCTCCAAAGTGGCTGCTCTCGCTGAATATGTCCGGTAGGTTTTTTTCTTTTTGTTCAGTCTGACCATTGCAAACATGTTACTCTGATATAACGTAACAAGATAATTATGTTTTCCATCGAGCCCATTAGCTGCCGTCAGTCACGCAGTCCAAGAGTACGACTTTAAGCACTGGTGTTCTTCTGTGGAGTGCGATGACTTGATGTTTCTTCCTTTCTCTCGCCAGCTCTAATCACCCCTATGAGGTGGCCGAGGTCATCAGTCTACCGATTGACCAGGGCAACCCACCTTACCTGAAGTGGATTGGAGATGTTGTACCCGAGTAGACGGATGGCTAAATCAAAAGGAATGTGATGTGACATATGGCAAACCACATAGTGTTTTAGAAAGTTATTCTGCTGCAGTTGCAGAAAAGAAAGATGAAAATAAAAGACATGAAAGATTTTTTTTTTTTCTTTATTGCAGCCTTTCTTTAAGTTTCAGATATCAAACATGCATTCCTCATGGCTACAACTAGAGGGCGGTATTTGTCTTCTATTCAACAGCTAGACAAACCAGCCAGAATATTTCTTGCCGTCTGCTTGGGTTGCATTTGAAACACTTTTCCAAAATAAATTTTTGTGTTTTTACCTTCTGTTTGCTTCAGTGTACGAGTTCAGAATATTTCAAGTGACAAGGTATACAACACAACCTTTATTAGGGGAAATGCAAACACTAAAAACAGTCAAGATTTCATTCTTTATCAATTTTCACACAGAATTGCTAATATATCTTTATATATAACATTTATGTCATGGTTTTGTAACGTCTTTAATAAAGCATATATTACATATTCCAATACGAAATACAACACTAATACAATGACCATTGCATTGACATGATTTAAGTTACCCAGGCAATAAGAGTAAAATTCTCAACACTTAAATACAGTTTCTGCTCCTTTATCTCCAAATTATCATGCAAAACATTAAAGGCATGCTACTGCAATGTAACTGAACAGATTCAACTTGAAAGGACACTTAAGAAGTACTGTTTTGATGACTTTCTGCTTTGACTTTCCTTTCTAAAAGGTGACAGATTATTTCATTCATTTTGGTCAATATATGACTTGGATATAATAATGCTTAAGTCTAAATACCAGAGAATGTATAGATTATGCTTCATAAAAAGCTCAAATGATATCTGTTTGAAGCCTGCAGAAGGCATTTCCATTTCACAGTAGGTCATTAACTGGCATCTACCACAGGGGAACTGATTCATGCAGCGAAAAAAGCCATTTCAGATGTTCCTTGTTTAAAAAAGTTAAAATTACCTTTAGAGTACCAGCAATACACACTGATGCTTTTGGAAATAATGCATTTAAAAAAGCCCTTCCTATCTAAATGTGAGTTTTAACCCTTATGAGCCTTTTCTGTGAAGAAAATTGAACCTGGCAGTCTGATGAGAACATGGTTGCATTCTCTAGTGATTTTTAAAGTCTAAGCAAACATAAAGACAAAAGCATTGGGAAATACTTACATTTTCCGTGTCTTGAACAGTTAAACATTTACATGTCAGTTCTAGCTCTGATTTACAGTCTGACATTCCAACTTTTATGGTTTTTCAAAATGAATTGTGACACAAATGTTTCCATCAATACAAATAAGTTCTAAAGCAAACTGGTATCACAGAGAACTTTAAAGAAATGTACAATGGAAATTTACAGAGGCCTTCTTATTGTAAATAGCTTTATCATCTTTTACAGATAGCTGATATCGAGCACAGAGTTTTTTTCCAGGACTTTCTCGGTTTGTGAGTTCCTGTTTCCACTTTTATTAGCCGTGGAATGAGAAACATCAAAATTATTAACACCTGAAGTCAGTTCAGGAGTAGCTTTCGGCATAATATGGGCTATAGTTTCTTCTTCTGCTTTGGAGTTGTATCCCTTATGTGACAAGCTACCTCTTTGTCTCATTGGCAAGCCTCCACCTGCTCCAGATACTTCCTCCAGGACGTCGTTTCCACCACAGTATTTCCCATGTGTGTTGCCGATTCTCTTCTGCGTCAGGAGCACGATGCCCCCCCACTCCTCTGTGGGCCGCTGTGCCTCAGTGGCAGCCCTGTCATTGTTCTTCACCTTGCGTGAAGTGCGGCACAAAGCCTTTCTGAAGCCTCTCTTGAAGTTGTCTGACAGAAAACCGTACAGTATTGGGTTGGCACAGCTGTTTGCATACGAAAGAACGACAACAAAATAGTAGAGTCCTCTGAAGTCTCCAGGCAGGACGACGAGGAGGTTCAGAATGTTGAGAGCATAGAACGGCAGCCAACAGAAAGCAAACACTGCAACAACAACCACCACCATTCTGGTGATTTTTCGCTCTGACCTTCTGCGTCTGGAGGACGTGGTCTGGGTCCGCCTCCCTACATTCCTCACCTGGAAAGATGGAACAAAAAAGACAATGAATTGACTTCTGAAAAACACTTGACCGACACAAGCAAATAAGATGCTTCTACAAATCATCTCTGATGATGTGGCAGTGACTCTGGATTACGGCTTGGGGATATAGCTTAAAATATAATCTCCGATTCCTTTCTACCAAATTTGACTTATAATAGAAGGTGAGAAATTACATGAGATACTTTAAAAAGATAGCTTTTTATTCAATAATTTCCTCTGTGAGATGACCTTGATTTAATGGGCAATGAAACTCAAGCTGTGAAACATTATTTTTAAGGCCACTTTCCCAAAAAAAACCCAATGAAAATACTAGAAAAAGTTGCATTTCCTGCGAAAATGCAGTGTGAATGCTGTACGCTAAACTGTAAGCTGTAAGGTTAAAATGGCAGAAACAAGCTGAAATTTAAAGTCAAAGCTGCTGAAATGGTATGGAATAGCAAAAAATGTCTAATTAGTTTCTTAAAAGTAGCTGAAGCCAACAGCAGAAACATGGCAGACATGTTATGAATTAACAGCAAGCAGAAAAGCTTAATGCCTTTCCAGAAAGAGAGCAGAATCAAGCCAAAATTGGAAAAAATATGCAGAAATTTTATAAAATAGCAAAAACGGTAACATAAACAGTAAAAAAGTTGAATCTTAACTAGTTGAAGAAAAAAATTAGTAGCTTAAGGATAGGAAGATAAATGTTGAATATGTATAATAAGTATTAAAGTCTGAAATCATATGTGGAAAAGTAAAGATTTGTAAAACAAAATTTAAATTAATTAAAATGTGTCAGTTGATCAGCATAGAGAAAACAGTGTCATCCTTAGAAGCTTGAAAATCCACAAACCAAAGTACAAGACTGACCATAAGAAGCACAGGAAGGACAGAGAGAGAAGCTTATAAAAAGAGAGCTAATAAAACTTAAGGAGCTGAATTTATCCAAAAATCTAACCTGCATGTTATGAGCCGCTGTGTTGATGACAGCACCGTTGGCAGGCTTAGGCTGCATGTTACGAGGTTAGCAGATGCTTTATTACAGTGTAAATCTTAGAACCTGATTAAGAAATATGCACTTAGGTGTGGGGTCAACAGGCCTTGGTAGTGTAATTTGAAGAAATTGGTTGAGTTTGGGTCATAGCTACAAGCCATATGGCACAATGAATGAGTGTATGTAAGAAAGAGGCTTTTATTTTGTAGAGTCCCTTTAGTCTTATTTTGAAAGTCTATCATGGATGTGTTTCAAGGGAAGGGTCATGCCCAACAGTGATATAGAATCCATTTCTAAATATGAAATCACTTGTTTTCCATGTTATTGGGTGAATAGATGCTGTGTTAGAGCGTAAATGGGAGACTTTTATTGTGAAATTCACTCCAGGGTATGTTTTGAAAAGGTCCCTAGGGTCTAATAGAAACAAGCTGGTAGAGTTTGGGTCATAATGCTGATCCATTTGCATCAATTAATACACAAGTGTAATATAGAGGCTTTTATTTTGTAGGGTCACTGGAGTCTTATTTTGAAAGTCTAGCATGGTTGTGTGTTGAGGAAAAGGGTCAGACCCAGCAGTGATACTTGATGACTTTCCAATCATTAAATCACTCTTTCCCCTGTTATTAGGGCAGTAGATGAAGTGGCAATGGGAGGCTTTTATTTTGAAATTTGCTGTGGGGTGTGTTTTGAAAAACCCCTAGAGTCTCATTTTTAAAAAAGTGGTTGAGTTTGGGCCATAGTGTTGAGCCATATGCTGGAAAAAAAAATATGAGTTTAATGTAGGAGCTTTTATTTTGAAGGGTCCCCGGAGTCTTATTTTGAAAGTCTATCAGGGTTGCGTGTGAAGGGAAGGGTCATGGCCAGTAGTCATATTGTATCCACTTCCTAATGTTAAATCAGTGTTGTCTCCCTCCATTAGATTAAAATGTGCTGTTTAAAGTGGTGGAGGTAAAATCCTTTGAAGCACGGTTACCTTGACGACGTTAACGAGCCTGTCAGTGACAGAGAGACATGCGCTTCACTTTCGTTCCTTAGTTCTCAGGCTTTTTTGAATGGGATTATCAGCTCCGAACAAACGAGTGCTGAAGACAAACCGTAAATGGTATCTAAAAAATTCTTTCAGTCTAAGCGAGAGCTATCCTTTGTCTCCGATTGGGGTGACTTTCATGGATGTAGCTCATTCACAACCTTAATGGGAAGGAGGAATAAAAAGGTTTGAGAAATCCTGCTGGTCTCATTGATTAACATGCAGCACAATGGTAGAGCAGAACTCTCAAAAGCAAAACTTTCCCTCCGAACAAACGAGCGGTGAGCCAAAACCATATTAGGTATTCAAAAAATTCTTTCACCGTGAGCGTCAGCCATCTTTGGACTACAACTGGTGTAACTGTCATATTTCTACAATATTTCGTCTAGGCGTGGTGACGATGTAAAAAAGTGTATAATTGTCAAAATCTTGATTTTGGGGTTCGGACAGATTTGTTACCCCCGAACAAACCTTGTTCCTAGCTAAATGATAAAAGATATCGACACACTTCCTTCAATGTGAGTGCTAGGAAGGTCTGAGGAACAACTTCAGCAAGGCTCATGTTGCTACGTCAAACGGTTCCCGAATGGGAGCGATACGAAAAAGTCTGTTTTTTTGAATTTTCACTTCAGATTTTCAGAGAGCTCTCATTGGATTTCTATTGGAGAAGTGTGGACTTCTTCGTGGTCTGGGCCAAACTGTCGGAAAACCGTAAATGCCACACAGATGAGGGTTACATTTCCTGAATCCTGACAAAAATCCCTACGTTTTGATGTAAAATTTATCTAGATAGGGTAAAAAATGAGCGAGTGAGTTGAAGCTGTTCGGCATGAGTGAAATGTTTGAAAACGCTAGAGTGGCACACTCTAGCAGCTGAACATTCCGTCCATAGACTTCCATTATAAATTTGAAAATCTGTAAAAATTGTTTAAAAGTTTGAAGCTTCACTGAAGCAAAACTGTAAAAGCTAGCAAAAAGCCGAGTTAAACAGTAATAGCAGAAAGATACGGAAATATTTTAAAAGTTGAATGGTGTTTCTAGCTGAAAGTATGCAGAAGTAGTTAAAGAGCAAAATAGCAGAAGATTTAGCAGAATTTTAGCAAAATGCCATTCATTTCAATGAAGCAAAAATTTGCAGAAAAAGCAGAATAATTTAAAAAGCAAAAGAGGTAGAAGTACAAAAAGACATAGCCGACATGTCCTAAATGAGCTGAATATTGTGAAATTTGAATGGTTGAAATAGCACAAAGTATGCAGAAGTAGTAGCGTTACAAAAAATGGTCGGAAGAATAAAAATAACTAGAAAAAGTTGCATTTCCTGCGAAAATGCAGTGTGAATGCTGTACGCTAAACTGTAAGCTGTAAGGTTAAAATGGCAGAAACAAGCTGAAAAAATTTAAAGTCAAAGCTGCTGAAATGGTATGGAATAGCAAAAAAAATGTCTAATTAGTTTCTTAAAAGTAGCTGAAGCCAACAGCAGAAACATGGCAGACATGTTATGAATTAACAGCAAGCAGAAAAGCTTAATGCCTTTCCAGAAAGAGAGCAGAATCAAGCCAAAATTTGAAAAAATATGCAGAAGTTTAATAAAATAGCAAAAACAGTAACATAAACAGTAAAAAAGTTGAATCTTAACTAGTTAAAGACAAAAATGAGTAGCTTAAGGATAGGAAGATAAATGTTGAATATGTATAAAAAGTATTAAAGTCTGAAATCATATGTGGAAATGTCAAGACTTGTAAAAAAAATGTGAAATTAATTAAAATGTGTCAGTCGATCAGCATAGAGAAAACAGTGTCATCCTTAGAAGCTTGAAAATCCACACACCAAAGTACAAGACTGACCATAAGAAGCACAGGAAGGAGAGAGAGAGAAGCTTATAAAAAGAGAGCTAATAAAACTTAAGGAGCTGAATTTATCCAAAAATCTAACCTGCATGTTATGAGCTGCTGTGTTGATGACAGCACCGTTGGCAGGCTTAGGCTGCATGTTACGAGGTTATCAGATGCTTTATTACAGTGTAAATCTTAGAACCTGATTAAGAAATATGCACTGAGGTGTGTGGTCAACAGGCCTTGGTAGTGTAATTTGAAGAAATTGGTTGAGTTTGGGTCATAGCTATGAGCCATACGGCACAATGAATGAGTGTATGTAAGAAAGAGGCTTTTATTTTGCAGAGTCCCTTTAGTCTTATTTTGAAAGTCTATCATGGATGTGTTTCAAGGGAAGGGTCATGCCCAACAGTGATATAGAATCCATTTCTAAATATGAAATCACTTGTTTTCCATGTTATTGGGTGAATAGATGCTGTGTTAGAGCGTAAATGGGAGACTTTTATTGTGAAATTCACTCCAGGGTATGTTTTGAAAAGGTCCCTAGGGTCTAATAGAAACAAGCTGGTAGAGTTTGGGTCATAATGCTGATCCATTTGCATCAATTAATACACAAGTGTAATATAGAGGCTTTTATTTTGTAGGGTCACTGGAGTCTTATTTTGAAAGTCTAGCATGGTTGTGTGTTGAGGAAAAGGGTCAGACCCAGCAGTGATACTTGATGACTTTCCAATCATTAAATCACTCTTTCCCCTGTTATTAGGGCAGTAGATGAAGTGGCAATGGGAGGCTTTTATTTTGAAATTTGCTGTGGGGTGTGTTTTGAAAAACCCCTAGAGTCTCATTTTTAAAAAAGTGGTTGAGTTTGGGCCATAGTGTTGAGCCATATGCTGGAAAAAAAAATATGAGTTTAATGTAGGAGCTTTTATTTTGAAGGGTCCCCGGAGTCTTATTTTGAAAGTCTATCAGGGTTGCGTGTGAAGGGAAGGGTCATGGCCAGTAGTCATATTGTATCCACTTCCTAATGTTAAATCAGTGTTGTCTCCCTCCATTAGATTAAAATGTGCTGTTTAAAGTGGTGGAGGTAAAATCCTTTGAAGCACGGTTACCTTGACGACGTTAACGAGCCTGTCAGTGACAGAGAGACATGCGCTTCACTTTCGTTCCTTAGTTCTCAGGCTTTTTTGAATGGGATTATCAGCTCCGAACAAACGAGTGCTGAAGACAAACCGTAAATGGTATCTAAAAAATTCTTTCAGTCTAAGCGAGAGCTATCCTTTGTCTCCGATTGGGGTGACTTTCATGGATGTAGCTCATTCACAACCTTAATGGGAAGGAG